TGCTCGACGCTCGTCTCACCGCCAGCTCTTGCCCCTAGCAGCACGAACAAGCTCTGTCCCTTCCCCGCCATCCCCGCCTCCCCTCCAGCTCCACCACGACCCTCCCCATCACTCGGCATCGCGTCGCTCGAGCACGGACCTGAGCCGTCGGCCCGCCTCAGAAGCACGGGTGTCGGGGATGTTGGGAGGCAGGGCGGCGCCTCGGAGCCGTCGGATGCGTCGGATGTTGTACGAGTTGTCGCTAGCAAGGCTGCTCAGAGCCTCCATCGCGCAATCCTCCAACCACCCGCTGCCCTCATGCCTTTGCATCGCCCTCCCTACCGCCTCGATCGCTCCCGCCTCCCGCGCCCGCGCCTGGCTGTCAGCCATGCCCTCCGTCATGCTGCGCAAGGCCTTGCATCCGTCACACTGTAGCCATCGTTCGTCCACGTGTCTGGACATGGCGCTGACGACGGCCTCGATCGCTCCCGCCTCCCGCGCCCGCGCCTGGCTGTCAGCCATGCCCGCCGTCATGCTGCGCAAGGCCTTGCATGCTGACCAATTCAAGTACATATTGTCCGCGTACGTGGACATGGCGCTGACGACGGCCTCGATCGCTCCCGCCTCCCGCGCCCGCCCCTGGCTGTCAGCCATGCCCGCCGTCATGCTGCGCAAGGCCCTGCATCCGTCACACTGTAGATATCGGTCGTCTGCGTGTGTGAACATGGCGCTGACGACGGCCTCGATCGCTCCCGCCTCTCGCGCCCGCGCCTGGCTGTCAGCCATGCCCTCTGTCATTCTCTCAAGTGCTTCACAGGAAGATCCTTGTACCCCAGCGTCTTCCACGTGTCTAGTCATGGCCCTGACGACGGCCTCGATCGCTCCTGCCTGCATGGCCGGGAGCTTGTTCTGCTCGTGGCCCTTGGCTATCGCTGTCATCACTTGGCATAGACCTTGCTGTATCTTCGCGTTGCTCTGGTGCCTGGTCATGGCGCTGACGACGGCCTCGATCGTTCCTGCATCTGACAATGTGCCCTGGTATCGGAAGTACTGCATTGTGTACTTCAGGGCCTCACACGCAGCCTGCTGTACTTGCCAGTCGTCCGCGTGCATGGAAATGGCGCTGACGACGGCCTCGATCGCTCCCGCCTCTCGTGCCCTTGCCTGGCTCTCATTCCTGAAGCTGATAGTGAAGTCCAGGGCCTTGCACGCAGCCTGCTGTACCCCCGCGTCGTTCGCGTGCGTGGTCATGGCGCTGATGACGGCCTCGATCGCTCCCGCCTCTCGTGCCCGCCCCTGGCTCTCTTTGATCAAGCTGATAGTGTTCTGCAGGGCCGAGCACGCAGCCTGCTGTACCCCCGCGTCGTCCGCGTGCGTGGTCATGGCGCTGACGACGGCCTCAATCGCTCCCGCCTCCCGCGCCCGCCCCTGGCTCTCTTGGATGCCACTGACGGTATGCCTCAGGGCCTCGCATGCAGCCTGCTGTACCCCCGCGTCGTCCGCGTGCGTGGTCATGGCGCTGACGACGGCCTCGATCGCTCCCGCCTCTCGCGCCTTGACCTTGTCAGCCTCCCCGTTCCGAGCCATGCTGACCAAGGCTTCGCACGCAGCCTGCTGTACCTCCGCGAGAGCCTCGTACGTCCTCATCTCCTGCATCACCGCCTCTATGCTGTCGTCAGCTCCCGTCCTCAGCAGCCTCCATGCCTCCCTTGCCGGCTGCTCCGTCCCGCTTCCGTCTTGTGCCCCTACCGCTGCCGGCAGCGCCTGAGCTCCCGTCCTCAGCGAGCTGAGAGCGTCGCTGCCCGTGGACTCCAAGGCGGTGCAAGCTGACTCTTGCAGCTCCACGAGCTCTGCGTACTTGCGCTTCCTGACTCTCCTCGCCACCGCCTCGATCCCTCCCCCCGCTGCCTCTCCGATCCTTCTCCATGCAGCTTCTGCCATGCTGCGTATGCCTCGGCATAGCGACTGGTTGCCGGCCCCTGCCCGCTGCTGTCCAGGCGTCCTGTCTGACCATGTCCATGCGTTTGCCCCCTCATCCCCCTCCGCTCCGGCTCTTCCTACAGCTACCGCAAGCTCGGCGAACCTCGGGCGGTCCTCCTCCCTCGTCGCCCAGCAGCTCTCCAGCAGGGCCCACAACCCGTCCGGGCACCCTCCGAGGAGGTGCTCTCGAGGCAGCCTCCCACCCCCGCACACGTACCCGATCACAGTCGGGTCCGTCATGGGGTAGTAGGGGGTCATGCCCGAGGTCAGGATCTCCCAGCACGTGACCCCGTAGGCCCACACGTCGCTCTTCTCCGAGCACCGGCCTCTCTGCATCGACTCTGGGGGCATGTAGCGCACCGGCAGCGCTCGCCCCGCTACCCTCCCGTCACTCCCGTCCACCAGCTCCCCTGCCCGCCCGTACCCCGCCACCTTCACCGACGTCCTCCCCACGTCCTCCTTGTCGAAGCCCATGACCAGCACGTGCCGAGCCGCGAGGTCCCGGTGCACGACCCGCTGCTCAGCCAGGTGCTCCATGCCCTGCGCGATCTGCTCCATCATCGCCGTCTGGTGCCCTCGCGTCACCTGCCCCGCCAGCCTCCCCAGCAGAGCCTCCCTCAGCGACCCCAGCTCGGCGAGCTCGGTCAGCAGCAGGGGACAGCCGTCGGCGTCGTGGCTCTGCCCCATGTAGCGTACAAGCCGAGGACGCGGCCCGAGTCTGAGCATGACCGCGGCTTGTCTGCCGCCGTCGTCTTGCCTGAGCTTGAGCACGGCTACCTTGATCTTGCCGGGCCCTGCTCTCCTTCCTTGCAGGCGGAGGTGACCTATGTAGAGGGTCTGGGAGGAGCCTGCTGAGATAGGCTGCCGCTCCATCTCCACGTCGTGGCTGGGGACGAGCAGCGCGTGTCGCTCCTGCCACTCCTGGATGGCGCTGCGGAGAGCGAGGTTGGGTACAAGGTGGTCGGAGGGGAGGAGGGCGCCGGTGAGGGCTCTGGAGAGACGATGGCGGAGCCAGGTCTCGATGGAGGATCTCTCGTAGGTGTGGCCATCGCAGCAGGTGACAGGGTCGGTCATGAGCGCCATGCTGATGGGGCAGATGAAGGACCGGAGCGCTCCCTGGTCCGCTGCCATGGCGGGGCCGAGGAGCGAGGGGAGGGGAGGGGAGGGGATAAAGGGGGTACGTGCAGCGAGGGAGCGAGGGGGTGCGAGGCCGGTCTAGACAGGGGTAGGGGGTGGTACGAGGAGGGGAGAGGAGGGAGGAGGGGTGGTCCAAAAAAGAAAAGCTAATCCTACCAGCGGCTACGGGGGAAGTGTAAAACTAAAAAGAAGAAGAATAAGTCTTGTTGCTGCCTTTTGTGTGCGATGGTACCTTCCGGGTATGTGTTGTTGCTGCCTTCTGTGCATTTGGTACTGATGGTCTGAGGCGGGTGGCTTTCTACAAGGGAGAGGACCAAGGGGATCTGAGGATAGATTGCAATCACTTCAAGATATCTGATCAAGAAATGACAAGGTGGATGTCTGATGTGGAAAAAACGGCAATGAATCCTTTGATTGTGAAGTTCAACAGGATCAATCTTGAGAACTCTTGCTTGAGTGATGTCAAGGACATCATCTTTGATAGGTACATGGAGTTATGCAAGTCAGAGATCGAGGAATTCAACAATGCCAACTTTATGTGCGAGATGTGCTGCTCTTGGACACCTTCTGAAGAGTGCAATAGATTGTCTGCCTGCAAGACCTGCACAGATAATTATTTTGTATGGAGATGCTCTACATGTGATGATGTGTTTGAGCACCTCGACGCGATGGAAACCGCAGTATGTCGCGATGGACGCTTGATAAAGGAGCGACACTGCAAGAGATGTGAAGCGGAGCTCGAGTTGTCATGCTGGGATTGTGGAATGGTATACAAACTGTGCAATGGATATGATGAGGAATATTGCTCATATGGCTGCAAGTCTAGAAACGCATGGTTGTAGTCAACGAGAACCCAGGGGGTACATCTTACTGACTGTGCAGCTGTCAGAGCTTATGGGTACAACATCAGGAACATCTTACTGACTGTGCAGCCTCATATGGTTGCTCATATGGTTGCTCATATGGTTGCTTATATGGTTGCATGTCTGGAGACGATTGGAGAGATTAGACAACAAGGATCCAGGGGGTATATTTTACTAACTGTGCACCCTGAATACAAGCTTATTGTTTGATCAATGTTTGGATGTTCATTCTTACAAATCTCCAATACACTCCTCACAATCTAGCCTTCTTCTCTTGTGGCTACATTGTTCATCTTCACAATCTAGCCTTCTTCTCTTGTGGCTACATTGTTCATCTTGTGTCTCGCAGCCCATACAGTTACAACTTCCTGCATTGGCTCCTTACCCTGTTGTGCTCACATACTTCACCTGCTTCCCCTCTCCTCTCCTCTCCTCTCGTGCAAGATCTTCTTCTCTCCGGTCAGATCTGCTCCTCGCAGTCTCTTCCTTTCCTTCTTTCCGTCTGCCCGCCTATTTGGGGGGTCTCCTCCCTCCTCCAT